GCTGGTGTGGCATGCAGTGCGGGGGACCAAACCATGGTCCCTGCGCTTTGCCTAAGCTTGCCTAAGCAGGCGCTTTAGACTGCCAAGCTATCTCGCTGGCCCAGTTTGCCTTCATTCTTAAAGCCCTTGGGAATGAACGAAAGTATTAAGAGAAGCCAGTAGGTGGGAGGAGAAATCAGAAAACAACTGAGAATCCTATAAAGCCAGCAGGGATACCACATGCATGCAGCGAGGAAGCTGAGGAAGAATAACCAGTGAAGTAGGATGAAAACGAAGAGGAGCTGACTTCCCAGGAAGCCAGCGTTAGAGTTGAATCTCAAGTGGCAGACACAGAACAAAAGCTCTATACGGTATAAAAGCTCTGTTGGGAGGAGTCTGGAATTCGTTACTGCAAGGAAATACAAGAGGTGGTCATCAAGAGAAAGCACCAGGCTCCTGCAGATGAATGGAAAGGAAGAGTCGATGAAGAAGTGAGGAGCAGAAGGAATCGCTCTACCTTCGGATAAGACGTGATTTCCACTTTCTGCATCAGACACTCTTTTACGAGACATCAGGGAAATGTGCACGTGGCCAAAGGAGCAGAATTCAACTAGGTTCACATCAGCTCTTCGGGGACAATGACTACAATCCTGTATCGGTCATGCACATACCTTATGTTCACGGAGTGCTTTATTTTCACATTTTGTTATTTTCCTGTGAAGGAATGCACATCAGTCATGCAGGCTGTGGAGTTGTACTTGAGGTGTCTGAAATCTGTTTCCTGGTATCTGTCTATGTCTATGAGCTTTTGTGTGTCAGAGAACACAGATGTACTTGGCGTCGAGTTTTAAATTAAAGAGCTCAAAATTTGACAGACTGTCAACTTTGAGTTTATGGTTCTTTTTTTTTTAATATGTAGCAGAAAAAATATGTGGATTTTCTTTTTGGGATATTGAGCCAGTGAGTAGTAGATTCATTTTTTTCTCATATTTTGCAAAGATTAGAGTTTATTATTCTTTTTGTACTATTGATTTAATGCACTGGGCAAAAATTAAAATAGGCTCTATATAGTCCCTAACCTGAAGGATTTGTGGCCCCAAATGGTATGCTTTATTGCTCTTTATTAGGACAGCCAATTTAGCACACCAATACAGACAAACAAAAAACAGTATTTTGGAACTAAGAAGTTTTGTCTTCCTAAATTGTCAGTGCGTTGCATAGTTGTGTCCAGTGGAAACCTATCACTTACATTTTTAAAAACTGTGTAAAAACCCCAAACTACGTAAGAGCAGCAGTTTCATCAAGATTTTGCTTCATAGAATGACTGAATGGGAAATCCTCGAGACTGGGCTACCACACTGTGGTGGAAGCTCAGGGCAAATTATCAGCGACCTAATTTATTTGAAAATACCATAAACAGTAAACAAATCCTACTTATTTTGAGGTAGAAATCCTTCTCTTCTTTCTTCATAGCAAGTCACATTTTATTTTTGAAGTAAAATGATTTTGAAATCTGGATACAAATCAGAAAATATACTTTTTTATTCTAAGTGAAACATTTATTCCTACTTCACATCTTGAACAACCAGTGACCATGTGTACTAGCAGATAATTACCTCATTTTCCCATTTTTTTTACCTGAAATATATTGTAATAACATTTATACTATCAGATAAATATCCATGAGTTCTAGTCAAATTGTCTTTTTATTATTAAACACTGTACCATATAGATAGATGTATAATATTTTTATGGCTGTTGTATAACTATCAAAATACCAAGCTATGATATTTTTAATAGTATAACTTATTAATTTATCAAAAAAACAACTAACATTTGTTTATTAGTAGTAGCACTTAATTGTAATATCTCATCCTGAAATAAGAATTTCATGAGTACGTATAAATACATTGACCACTACCTAAAATTATGTCCCACCATCTCAATAAGGGGTTGAAAGATTTAATTTTATAAAATAAATTATTTAAAAGATTTCTAACAGTCCTTCTATGTCTTTTATGGTCCAGTTTCAGTCCTTCTTGTGCTGCCGAGGGCCTGGATGACTATCGCTGCACCGCATGTCCGCGTGGCTATGACGGCCAGTACTGTGAAAGGTACTACCTACCATTCTTCCTGCATGCGTCTGCCCCTGTAGGAAGAGGGAAAGTCAAAACCTACTCACCGTTTCAGTAGCCTCATTTCTCTCCTATTCTCCAGTTGTTTAAATTAGATGCCTTCACAGTTATTTTACGCCTCTTAGACTTTCTCTGAAGAAATTTACTCCGATCTTCTACTTAGTTTCTTAAACACAGCAAAGTATTTCTCAATTATCTAACTCAGGCCTTATTATATAGAGAAGGAGGTAGATGCTAAGACATACTATCTCATTAGGGCAAATACATCAAATTCATTTTTAGAAGCTTTTCAATAGTTACTAGTAATTAAAAGCTTCCCAGGTTTTTCTCATTTTAATTCACTTGAAAATGCTGTCTAGCAGTAATTACTCACAAGCCATTTCTGCCTCACTATTGCCCCACACCAGCAAGTAGATGCATAATTCAAAGTATAAAGGAAATGCAGCATCTTTAATTAACACCACCTAAACAGTACAGTTAAGCAGCTGTTGCTCTGTTCCCCTTCTTAATGGGCAAATAATGTTATGGAAATGCTTCATTTCCCCATAAGAAATTACAAAACC